GGGGCTGGCAGGCCTGCACCTCTGCGGGCTTGTTTTGAATTTCCTGGGCCCGCCTCTAGGGCCACATGCCCGCCCCTTTCTCTCGTACGCCGGCTGCGCAGTCAAACCCTCTTCCGAGCTGTCAGTTCCAGAGAGAGGCTGGGGAGAGCTGTTGAGCCGAGGGATGTACGCGGGGAGGGTGGGCGCAGAGAGGCGGGGACCTCCAGGCTTTTGGTCCTTTTCCTCATTTGGGCGTTTGAGCCTCGGACAGGTCCGCATGAACACTTCTTGTACAGTTCCTCACCGTACGCCGGCTGCGCAGTCAAACCCTCTTCCGAGCTGTCAGTTCCAGAGAGAGGCTGGGGAGAGCTGTTGAGCCGAGGGATGTACGCGGGGAGGGTGGGCGCAGAGAGGCGGGGACCTCCAGGCTTTTGGTCCTTTTCCTCATTTGGGCGTTTGAGCCTCGGACAGGTCCGCATGAACACTTCTTGTACAGTTCCTCACTGACATCCTTTAAAGTTCTAGAAATACTTTACATGTTACTAATTCTCCCAGCGCCACTGTGAGGTTGCCATTCCCCGGGTTTCAGAGATGAGGAAACAGACCTCTTGGGACCAGCCAAGGGGTTTGCGTTGCAGCTCACAGCTAGGGAGCGATGAACAGTGCAGCCAGTATTCTCAAAGTATAGGCTAGGTACCGTCAGTGTCAGTCTTTCCTCGGACTCAGATTTCTGGGCATCACTTCAGGCTTCGTGAATCAGATCCTCTAGAGGTGGAGTCTGTGAATCTGTGCTTTTGAGTAAGTGCTTCTCCGGGGGTATTGATGTTTGGCGGTTAGAGTCTAGGACTGGGCAGCGAACAGACTTTTTTTGTCTTTGATGTTGATTAAATCATTTTTCCTAAGGTTGACTTTTTCTTTCTATTAAATAGGTTATGAACCTCATGTGAGAGTTCTTGGTAAAGTTCATGGAAAGGGCATATCCTGAAAAAGTGCATGGATTTCAAGGTTTTTTTTTCGGGGGGGCATTAAATTAAACTTGTGTTATAATTCTACTGTTCATGAACTTTCTGAAGTCCCCTCATATACGTAAAATGTCAGAACCTATAAGTTGATGCCTCTGTGCTCACCTCTGACACCTGAGGCAACAGTTCCTTTCTCCTAGCAACTGTTATCACAGAATCCAAGCCGTGAAACTGATAGGGAATATAAGGCTCTAAAGGTGATGCTAAGCTGACAGTAAATGTTCGCTGAATTAAATTATCTAGTGAAGAGCCTCTACCCGAATTAATTGATACCTATGAGACCTAATCTTTTGAGCATTGCTATAAGTATGAACACATAGCATTGTAATTTATAAAAGGTGTGTATGAACATGTGATTGAGAAGAATCTTTTCTGAATACTGAATTTTGTGAATGAACTATAAAATGAGCCATATTGTTTATTTTACAGTAATTTCTCATCTTTTTAGAAACTTGACCTATTTTTGGATCATAACTGAGAAACCAGTAAGGAGAAAATAGAACATCATTATAACATTTGTGCAGTAAAGAGCATAATTGTACTATAATCACCATTTAGAAAAATTTCTTAACAAACTTTGATTTGATTCACAAATGTGTCATTATTTAGTACTGCTGTATTACAAATACTCATATATTCTGCCTTGAAATGGTGGTTATGTAAACTGCTTTAAGCATATAAAATTGAGTTAATTTAAAAAGAATTATTGTTATTTAACTTTATTTTTAATTTGACCAGCGAGGGACAGAGAGAGAGAGACAGAGAGGGAAAGTGAGAAAGCTAGGTCTGGGACTCAAACCTTGGTCAGCCATGTGGGAGTCTGGCGCCCCTCAGCACCGTGCTACCTGCCAGCCCCTACAATTGAGTTAATTTAATAGAGTAAGGTCCTTCCCATCCTTAAAATACTTATATTTTATGAGGAGTGGTAGATATATACTATGAAGATAACACAGGATAGGACATGTTTCAGTATGTTACAAAGTACTTGGATAGCTCAGAGAGCTGCGATTGTTACTCTAGAGTATGGCTTGGTGGTGGGAGGTGCGAATTGCACCGAACCTTGAGAGAATATTAATATAATTGTTTGATTTTCACATGCCATCTTTTGTATAATTTATCTTTTCTAAGAATTATTTATTCAATGTTATTTATTATTACTATTTTTAAGATTTGCTATAGGGCATATGCATTCACTAGAGAGAGACAGGTAGACAGACAGAGAGAGAAAGTGAGAAAGTAAGCCACCAGGTCTGGGACTCTAACCATGGTCAGCCTCCTGGAAGTCCAGTACCTTAACCACCATACCACCTGCTGATCCCAATACAATTTGTCTTCAAAATAAGGTAATTCTAGGAAAAATAGTGAATCTTTTTGTTATTTAAAAAAAATAATTATTTATTTAATTACATTTGTTGTTATTTATTTTTTCTTTTTTTCTCTTTTTTTTTTTTTTTGAGAGAGATTTTCACTGTAGGGCGCGTGCGTTCGCCAGACAGACAGAGAGAGACATAGAGACAGAAAGCGAGAAATCACCCCCCAGGGGGGATGGTCACGCCGCAATCCCTTCTCCTCCATTCTCCTCTCGGGATCTTGGGCACGCACGCACACGCGCCCGGCGTGAGTTTTAAGCCACCGGGTCCGGGACACGAACCACGGTCGATTACGTGGGAATCCAGCGACATAGCCATTACGCTAACTGCTGGTTCCCGATTTGTTGTTATTTTTTAACTTGATGAGTGAGAAAAAGGGAAAGCAAGAAAGCAAGCTGCCGGGTCCAGGACTCAAACTGTGGCCCGCCATGTTAGAATCCAACGCCTTTAACCACTACAGCACCTGCTGGCCCCGAATCTTTTTGTTGTTGATTTGAAAATTTTAAGATAAAGACATGTGGAAGAGGTTTTGGCATGGGTGACTGAGACAAGTAAAATTAAAACCCATTAAAAGATGATGTGATTGTGTTGGGGAAGAGGGGTTGAGAGTGAAGGGACAAATATCTGAGAAACAACCATAGTTACATGGTACATAGCAAGTTATTTTCTTAAAAATTATTTCTCATTTTTAAACAGTTGGAAGTGTAGCTGTGGAAGACCAGCCGGATGTCAGTGCCGTGTTGTCGGCCTACAACCAGCAAGGAGATCCCACAATGTATGAAGAATACTATAGTGGACTAAAACACTTTATTGAATGTTCCCTGGACTGCCATCGGGCAGAGTTATCCCAACTGTTTTATCCTCTGTTTGTACACATGTACTTGGAGTTAGTCTACAATCAACATGAGAATGAAGCAAAATCATTCTTTGAGAAGTACGTGAATTTTAACATGTATATGCATAGTATATGTATGTATATATGTGTACTTATGTAATCATGCAAATATAACATCAAATTCAAAAAGCATTTTGTGAAGGGGAGTTTTAAGTTTTCACCGAGGGCTGTGAAAACTTAAAATGGGATTTAATCTAGGTAGAGAAATTGGGGAAATCTCTCAGAGAAAGAGATGCTTTAGGTGAGATCCAAAGATTGGGTTGGAGTTGCCCAGATAGAGAAGAGGAGAAGCATGTGTGAAAGCTCTGCTCTAGGAAGGGTCATGGTAGGTACAGAGACTTTAAGAAGGCCAGTATACTTGGAGCAGACAATGGAGTAGGAATGTGGTACAGTATGAAACTGGGAAGGGCTAGGGCTGGAGCAGGTTCTTGGGGCCATGTTGAGGGTCTTTGTTTTGCCCAAGAGCAGTAGGAAGTTGTCTTGTGTATGATTAGATTTGACTGAGAGTCACTGAAAACCCATTGATGGTATAAATAAAAGTTTATTTTTGCCTTAATTTTTATTTTTTATTTATTTTTTTAAGGTATTTGTCATAGGGCACATATACTTGCCAGAGACAGAGAAAGTGAGAAATCACCCCGTGGGAGGATGGCCATACCACAATCCTTTTTCCATTCTCCTATAGGGATTCTGGAGGTGCATGCACATGCACCCACTGTGATTTTCAAGCCTCTGGATCTGGGACTTGAATTGTGGTCAGCTAAGTGGGAGTCTGGCACCTTAACTGCCGTGCCACCTGCTGGTCCCTAAAATTTTAAAAGTAATTTTTATTTACTTATTACTTTTATTTATTTTTTTAAATGTAGTGTTGATATTGCATAGATACAGTAGATGTAACGCTTTTTTTAAAAAGCATTATTTTATTTAACTTTATTTATTTATTTATTTGTTTTTCATTTGACCAGAGAAGGACAGAGTGGCAAGCCACCAGGTCCAGGACTCAAGCGCCCTTAACCACCACACCACTTGTCGGCCCCTATTTATCACTTTTAGTGGTCCAACCACTCTGGAAATCAATGTGACCTTTTCTTTTTGTAAAGTCTTTTATTTATTTCTTCCATGAGTGAGTAAGACAGTGAGGCAGATAGAGAGGTTCTTCCAACAGAGTGCACACACCACAATCCATCCCTAGCTTCAGTCAGATGTGGATCCTGAGAATGTGAGCACTGGCGTGTTTAGGTTGGTCTCCAGAGGTGAGCCTAGAACCTTCCCATGAGAGTCTGCTTTTCAGAGCATTGTGTTTCTGCTGTGTGCTCATCTGTCCTTTTAGGGTCTTTGGTTATTAGGGACCATCTG